GGAATAGGCATTCTTGGTTCTTTTCTGCTTTTGACTGTGTTCTTTAGGCCTTTGCTTTGCCAACAGCCAAATACTGATGGATTTTTTGTGTCTGATTTTCTTCAAAAGATGGGGGTTACTAAAGTTCACAACTTTTCAGCTCACTTTTGTTCTTGGCAAGGGGTTGGATGTGATTCCAAGGATGAAAATGTTGTTAATTTGACAGCTAAAAGTTTTGGTTTATCTGGTGTTATTCCTGATAACACCATTGGTAAACTCACAAAGCTTAAGTATTTGGATCTGAGCAACAATAAACTCACTGGTTTGCCTTCTGATATATGGAGTTTAGGTTCACTAAAGTACCTTAACCTCTCACATAACCATATCTCTGGTGACCTTTCAAGTAACGTAGGCAATTTTGGTGTTCTTGAAATCATGGACTTCTCTGTCAACAATTTCTCTGGGAAAATCCCAGATGCCATTAGCTCCCTTTCAAGTTTGCATTCTCTTAATCTTAGTAAGAACTTGTTTGATTCAGAAATCCCTTCGGGAATTTCGGGCTGTCATTCTTTGGAATCCCTTGATCTATCAGAAAACAGACTCACTGGTTTTCCTAATGATTTTGGTTCTACATTTCACAAGCTCAAGTTCTTGAATCTTGCAGAAAATGAGATTCTTGGTAAAGATTCAGATTTTTCCAGAATGGATTCAATCACTCATATCAATATTTCAGGCAATCTGTTTAAGGGTTCTGTTGTTGGTCTTTTTGAGGGGCCATTGGAAGTGATTGATTTGAGTAGAAACCAGTTTGATGGTCACATTTCTCAGGTAAACTTCAGTTCCAGCTTTGATTGGTCTCATTTGGTTTATCTTGATTTATCTGAGAATCACCTTAGTGGAGAGATCATTAAAGAATTAAAGAATGCTCGAAATCTCCTATACCTTAATCTTGCAGATAATAGATTTTCACATCAAGAATTTCCACAAACTGATATGTTATCTAGCTTAGAGTATCTGAATTTGTCTGGAACTAGTTTGATTGGCCAAATTCCTCAAGAGCTCTCGTCGTTGAGTCGCTTGAAAATCCTTGATATATCCAAAAACCATCTTAGTAAACGCATTCCTCCACTGAGCAATAGAAATCTTTTGGTTCTTGATGTCTCATACAACAATTTGACTGGTGATATCCCATTGCCACTTGTAGAGATACTCCCAAGGATGGAAAGGTTCAATTTTTCTTACAACAATCTAACTCTTTGTGCTACTGAATTCTCCTCTAAAACACTCCTTTCGGCGTTTATGGGGTCATCAAATGGATGTCCTATTGCTGCCAACCCAGCTCTCTTCCACAAGAAAGCTCCGAAACACAGAGGCCTTAAACTTGCTTTGGCATTAACTTTCTCTATGGTCTTTCTGCTTCTTGGTTTACTGTTCTTGGCTTTTGGTTGTCGAAGGAAAACCACGATATGGGCGGTTAAACAGAATTCTTACAAGGAAGAACAGACTATTTCTGGTCCCTTTTCTTTCCAGACTGATTCAACAACTTGGGTTGCTGATGTTAAGCAAGCAAATTCAGTGCCTGTTGTGATTTTCGAGAAGCCACTATTGAATTTCACATTTGCAGATCTCTTATCTGCAACTTCTAATTTCGATCGAGGCACATTGTTAGCTGAAGGGAGGTTTGGTCCTGTTTATAGAGGCTTTTTACCAGGTGGCATTCATGTGGCAGTGAAAGTTCTTGTTCATGGTTCCACTATGACAGACCATGAAGCTGCTAGAGAGCTCGAGTATCTTGGCCGGATAAAACATCCTAATCTTGTTCCATTGACAGGATACTGCTTGGCTGGTGAGCAAAGAATTGCCATTTATGATTACATGGAGAACGGGAATTTGCAGAACTTGCTTCATGACTTGCCACTCGGGGTTCGAACTACTACTGAAGACTGGAGCACGGACACGTGGGAAGAGGAGGATGATATTAACAGTATTCAGAATGTTGGTTCTGAAGGATTGTTAACCACTTGGAGATTTAGGCACAAAATCGCGCTTGGCACTGCTAGAGCACTTGCATTTCTACACCATGGTTGTTCACCTCCCATTATACATAGAGATGTCAAAGCTAGCAGTGTTTATCTTGATATGAACTTGGAGCCTAGACTATCCGATTTCGGATTGGCCAAAATCTTTGGCACAGGACCCGAGGATGAGATCACTCGCGGTTCACCTGGATACATTCCCCCAGAATTTCTTCATCCAGAGAGCAGCTCACCTAAATATCCTACACCAAAGTCAGATGTCTATGGATTTGGAGTCATCCTTTTCGAGCTGATTACCGGGAAAAAACCAGTTGAAGATGATTATCCACAACACAATGATGGTAATTTGGTTGGTTGGGTTAGAGGATTAGTAAGGAACAACGAGGGATCAATAGTTATCGATCAAAAAATTCGTGGAACTGCATCACAGACACAAATACTAGAAGCCTTGAAAATCGGTTATCTATGCACAGCTGAAGTTCCCGCGAAACGACCAAGTATGCATCAAGTAGTTGGACTGCTCAAGGATATTGAGCCTTCACAACAATGAAGATAAAAAGGACACAAAGGCATTGGCAACTATGAGGATTTTGAGTTCTCTTTTGTGTTGTTACCTAGCACAAGGGGAATTGTACAGTAGTCCAATATTTTTGTTTGCTGCTTTATGCAATGTTATCTCATTTTCCACTGGAAAAGTTTTAAGTTGTAGTACAAAATAGGCTTTTGCTTGACCCTTGATGAAGAACAAATTTTCCACTCATTGTCATTTGTCTTTCAATTCTTTGAAATCTTTACGAGTTACTCTCTCCATTTCAATTTATTTATGTTACTTTTCTTTTTAGTCCGTTTAAACGAGAAATGACCTTTTTTGTAGTGTCAAACTTTTGTGCTTGGTTCATGATGTTGTAAAATCTATCTGTTAAAGAGTTCATTGTGAAAGTTTAGTGCATTGTGCAGCTTTTACTCTTATACAAGTGTTGCAGTAGTTGTTGAGACCTTCAAAAATATTGCTGCATTCAATATCAGATTTTTTAAAATAACATAGATTTTGAAGGATTCGACACAGTATCTTTAAGAGCCGGGGCAACAAACATGTCAAATTCTTTTACATCCTTATCATGGTATCATAATCTCCAAAAGTATTAATACATTCGTATCGAATCTTCTAAAAATACACAAGTTCAGAATGATTCGACGTTCGACACACTAATAATATTCTTAAGAGTGTGATTCTTTAAAAAATGTTGTCACTCGCATATGAGATTCTATTAAATAAATAGGTTTCAAAGAATTCGATACATACTTATAGTTTTAAACAACATAATTTCTTATAAATTTTATAAAATCTCAAATAACATAATTATAAAGGCAGATTTTTTTTTCATTATATATTCTGATGGACCTGTTTGGTGTTAATTTATGGGGCTCCATTCAATTCTTGGAAATAGTAATTGCAGAAAAACCATAAAGGACCACTGTTTCTAGTGGTCCTTTTCATGAAGTATGTGTCATTGTGTATATAAGACAAGAAGTTTAATGTATTCTAATTCCTCTAACATTAATTTAATTAATCACTTTTTGACTAATTTTTTTCTGTTGCTTATGTTCAATCATTAAGATGTGCTCTACCCTCATAGGTTAGCGAAACGGTGAATGAAGTGAGTGAAAATTATATATATAAAAAATATTAATATTTATATTGATAAGAAGTAATATGTATTTTGGTGAATCTTGATAGTTCAGATACAAATATATTGATTCATATAAAGTAACATGTATCAAACGGTGAAATAATACTAGTGAAAGTCGTAACAAGTAATCCCATGATGAAATATACAAGGTACTTGTACGAACAAGCTTGCTCGTATAAGTATTCATATATCCAACGGTAAAATAGTCGAGATAAAACAAGCTTGTCCATACAAGTAACATGTATTCTATAATGATATGGTTGAGATACGCATAAGCTAGCAACGAGCATCTAATGACGATAAACTAATGATATGTTACAAGTAATTAGTATTCGTTGAAGTAATTCATAAACAAACTGATTCAGACATCACGATTACGAATTGAATTTGTCATAATATGATTTCAACAAGAGAAAACAAACAAAATGTGTGAGCACTAGATACTAGCAAGATGTGTGCTTACAACATAGTAAAGTCACAACCAACATAATCAATAATGTCATGTTCTTGGAATCTTAAAAAAGTTACCTGTCACAAATGTTGGTTACATTAATGGAGTATGATAATAATTCAATATTTTGAAGACATACATGACAGCTTGGTCACTGTTGGGTACTAATTTATTATAATTGTTAGTATTTCATTGGTTTGGTTTTGGAGCATGTCTGAAGAATTTCTAACTCAGTGCACTGAAGGATGGAAAACACTGACACCTATCAGCACTCTGTACTACTTACTCCGTCTCAAAATATTTATCGCGTATTTTTATTTACATCTCTTTTAAGTAAATATTCTCTATCTCTATTAGTCCATTTCGATAAATCAAGAAAGAACAATATTTTTTATCTACTAAATCTGAATCGTGGAGCCTATTCAAAAATGACGTTTTCAGCTAGATTTTGTCTCTAATTAGGACTCGAACTTGAGACTACTAGTTAAAAGTGAACCAGTTCCGATCTAGGGCAAAAAAGGTATTGAATGTCCAAGCCAGCTGCAGGAGATATGGGTTGTAGTATTTAATATTTGGCCCTTTTTTTTTGGCTATAATTATGGCTGAAGTTCACCAGTAACCACTTTTTGGACTGCTATTTAAAAACCTATATCTAACATCAGCAAACCATTTCAAGTTTAGCTACAATTGTTTCTTAAAGGTTGATCTTTTTTTAAAAAATACAAAAAATGCATGTCTTCGACTTAATACAAATTTAAATGTCTATTTTTGCGCCGTTAAGGTCCCCATTATACTTTTTCTCATCAAACATAATGAGTTGATGGTCTGCAAAATCATACAATATCATTAGTCGAATGCAGCTATTTTAGTTTCCATTCCAAATGTATATATTAAAGTTTCACAAACTAACCAAAGTTGTGATCACTAAAAGGGAAAGAGCAAAAAACTAAATACATTGAAAGGGGGAGAAGAAGTGAAAAATAAAATGATAGCATTATACAACATTCTACTGTTTCTGTGTTCATAGAAAGGACAGATGACTGGCATCACCGGCGACAGGGATGGGAATAGCCTTCGGGTTTTACCTGTCATCAAACAACATTCTACTCTTTCGTATGCTTACCAGTGTACACCTATTTTTCTTCAAACTCGACATCAATAATATCTGGTTGGGATTTTGAAGTGGTACCTCCTCGACTGCCTCTAGAAAAGAAGTCACCTCCTTTCGGCTGCCACACAACATTTCCACAGTTGGCACAGCGAACTGTTGAATTCTTGTTTCCGATAAATTGTCTCCTACAAGATGGGCACTGACCCTGCACGGATAAAACAAGACGTGTGACAACGAGCTGAAAGCTGCAAACTAGTCATCGTAGCAACACAGCATTTTCTCACAATGTAGCTCATAAGCAGAGTTAAGACTCAAGAATGTGTCAATTATCCGTATGTAACAGAGTTATCGAAGGAGCATTTAAGCCCTAAAGAGAGGCACAAAACATTTTGAGCGCTTCAGTGTCGTCATCAAGGCTATATGGCATACTTTCCCTTGCTAATGAACGTAAACCTGAAGAGGAGACACTAAATAATTGATGTTTCATTTATTAATTGAGGAGTTGCTCAGTAAACTCAGTCAAAACAACAGTTTTATTCATACATAATTACTTCTAAGCACGAGGGTATTGAGATATAAAGTTACCTTGATGACTAGATTGTTGGCAACAACCCCAATAAGAAGAGGTCCAGCAAATGGTAGAACCCATGTTGCAATTATCAGAATTCGAAACAGCCAACCCGATAAAGCAAACCACAGAAAGAATATTGTCTGCAAACAACACATAAGACTCAGATTTTGAGCAAGATAAAAGACTTGGTTTTAGAACAAGGTAACTTCGGGGATATTACGATATGTTGAAAAAAAGCTCCTAGAAGCTTTGAATACATATAACTACCTTCAAATATAGAATAGACAATATCCAAGTTCACGATGATAAGATCTTTAGAGGTAGTCAAGATAGAAAAATTGGAGAACGATGTACGACTATCTAGTATGAACAGAAATGCAATTAGATACCAACTCATATCAATTTTTCTAATGTCTTTTATAATACAATTGTGGCATTCGGAACTGTACTCCGAACTAGCAACTGCATTTGCAATGACTCAAAAGTCATATGAAAAGGCTGAAATATACTACAATGATCAAGCAGCCACAGCATATTGAGAACAACTTACATTATATGAAACCCGAATATCGAGCTTTATACCAACTTTACTACTAGAGTAATGAAATTTCTATGACAAGAAGTGTTGTTCCTAGTTTCATGTCAATAGAAGAAAATTAAACGAATCCCATATACTGAACACTTTTATGATCCTTCTCCACCTCATAGAGAATAGAACAAACGGAATTCAGCTCATCAATTTCCCAGCGCAACTTGCAATGTATCTAAATTCTCATAAGAAATCAATGACATGTGTTCTAAGGTATTTAAGAACTGTGCTATAAGTTTACATGACATGCGTCTTCGAAAAGCAAATAACACTTACAACAGCACTTCTTCCCAGCGGGGTATCCATAAAATCATTCAACTGCTTCCTATACTGCAGCAGCAACAGAAAAAACAATTAGCATGACGCTCACTGGCAGGAGCAAAAGGAATCCCATGACAAACTAGAAAACACCAATTTAAATCAATTAACTAATGGTGGAACACGTTTTAGCCGAAATAGAAAAAACGATTTGGCCTAATTCATATGAAACTAACTCATGGGATGGATAAGAATCCATAATACAACAACAACATACCCAGTGAAATCCCAATAAGTAGGGTATGGGGAGGGTATTGTGTTCACACACCTTACCACTACCTTGTGGAGATAGAGAGGTTGTTTCCAAAAGACTCTCGGCTCAAGCGCATCAAACCCAAAATCCCTAATGAACTGTACGAATCAATTAACTAATCACTGAAACCATAAACCTGACTGGCATGAAGAAGAGTCTGGCATGGAAGTAAAGATCCGCAACATACTTTATGGCACTAAATCAATTAACTAATGGGAAAGATATTAGTACTATATTATATCTATAACATGTTAGAAAATCCAGCCAAAGCTTTTACTCTCTGTCCCATTGTTTCAGTACTAAAAGCTTTTTGAAAAATCCACGACTCATTGGGGAGGAAACTAAAAGGTAATCTATGTCCGAAGGGTTATATAAGGATGAGATGGCATATCCCACGGGATTAGCTATCACACTTTCTATATGGGACAGCTGGGATAGCAAATTCCATGGGATTGTTATCCTTTCACCCACAGATCAAATGTGGGATAAAGTAACCCCATATTGTACCCCACGATTCTTATGTCTTACCCCAAGAACCAAACAAACCCTAATAATAGATGCGGTCTTCCCAAAAAAATAACCTTCTACGCCATTTCTAGATTTGGGCATCTCATCCTTGCACAATCTTCTATTTATTACTCCTTCCGTCCCAAATTAGTTGTAAAGTTTCGTTTCTCGAGACTCGAGAAACAAACAATTTGAACTTTGACCAACACTTTTAAATGTATTTTTTCATCAAATCGACATGAGACATGTTGTATTTTCATATAATTTTTTTAGTATCTAAATTTTCATCGTAAAAAATTGGAGTTGATCTTGATACAACCTTAGGACAAACCACACCCCAAAAACTAACTATTGAGGTAAGAGAACCTAAGGAAACATAAGCCTAACCACATCAGTTCCCCATTTAACCGCCTTGGGATGTTCTCATAACAAACCACCACACTTAGCTGGCGTGTGAAATACATAGCTAGCCCCAGCCGAAGACTATCATACCGGCCTCACCATCCAAGGCACGGCGAACATAGAGGGTGGTGGGTGACTCTAACACCATTAATATAACCTCAGGAGAACAAACTAGTAACTTAGAGGGCCTAAGGCTATATTATTATCCCCAGCTCCCAACCCATTTAACCGACGTGGACTCAAAAGTGTTATTCCATGCAATAAAATCATAGCAATCTAATCCAATTAAGCTTCAAATATTAGTCAAATTGAGCACACAGAGTGAGTTCTATTATCAGCATACAACAGAATCAAACTAAATCAGTAATATAAAGGAGCAATAGGATAAGCAAACAAACCCTAGGCAAATTTGATCTAAAATCAAGAGAAAAAGTACGCCACTTTCGAGTAATCTCAAAATCACGATCAATTTCTCTAGCACGATCAGCAGCAGACTGTGCAACATCCGATACTTTCCTTGACACATCATATCTCCTATCAATACGTTCCGCAGTCTTCTTAGATTCATATAAAAACTGCTCAAAACCATCATTAGCATTCCTCCACACATCTTTCCATGCTTCACCGGATCTTACTCGTTTAGCGAATCCATCAAAATCACTCCGCCTGAAAGCATGTACATAACTAACTTGCCGAATAGGTAGGTTTACCTTTACTGTTCGGTTAGCAAAACTTAGGGTTTTAGTAGGGTTTAAGGGATGCCATGGTAGGCTTATCGCCATAATCGCCTGAAAATTTGAAGCTTTTTTTTCTTTTTTCGGTTTCAGTGGTAGGCGACTGAATTTTCTGGTGGACAAAATTTTGAGGAAATTTCAGTTTAGACCTTGTATTCTTGAGAAAATTATAAAAATGGTCCCTTATGTTTGAAGACAGATTCAAATTAGTACCTAACTTTTTAAGTTTGTCAAAAAATACTGTTTAAATTTATATGAGATTTTTTCGTTTTTCAAGAATTGAAAATTTTTAATTTGATTTGAGATTTATGTATGAAATTTTTAAATTTTTTAAAATAAAAATTATATATTTGTGATTTACGTAAAAAATATTATAAATTATTAAAATATATGAAAATTTTATAATTAAGAATAGACTTGTTAGTCTATGTCAAATATTTATTGAAGATTATATATTAGAATTGAGGGGGACAATAGCATAAAGAAAATTAGCAGAAACAAACATTTAGTGGTTCGAATTTTGTACTTTCTGTTATTTTTTATTTACTTAACGGAGTTTTATGTAAATTTTTTAATATAATTTCTGTTTTTTTTAATAGCTTTATAGGAATTTTAAACAATTTTTTATTGCGTATCTAATAGGATTTTATGTAAATTTAAGGAAATAAAGTTGTATTGAAACGGGTAAATGATATGAATATTTAAGTGTGAAGTGTCGTGTAACAAGAATGTATTATCAAAATTTAGAAGTAAATTTTATATTTGGTAGGGTTTCAATAAAATTTGGATCGCAAGCCAAGACTATTCAAAGTGATGCTTCCAATGAAATTTTTTTCGTTCTTAAAACTCTAATTAAGCTTGAAGCAGATTCATCACTACACCACATCTCGAGTCCATTATTTAATATGTTAGCATCTGTATGTGGACTAGTTCTGTCCATTCACTAGAGGCATCTCATTCCTTTCTCCATTAATCATAAAAATAAAATTAAAAAATAATTAAATAAATGTTGTCAATTTCAAGATGCTTTACTCTCTTGTTTTCAATTACCAAAAATAAAAAAAGTTAGTGAAAGATGTCCATCATTTGGATATATAAAATATTAGCTATAGTTTTGCAATTATTTTTTCATCCTTTTTACAAAAATAATGGTTGAACTAATTTAATAAACAATCTCAATACATTAAATAACATAAACTTATCTTATTTCACATGTCAAACAATCTCTTAAAATTAACTACATACAACAGTATAAAATATTATTAATAAAATTAATTTAGTAAAATACATTTCTAATAAAACTTATTGAAAATCATATTTAAGCAACATAAATCAAGTAAAATAAATCGATAAAATAATTATATCATTTTTCAAAAAGACAAATAAAGTAATTATTGGCTAGAGAAAGTCAAAGATATAAATTAAATATTGTAATTGTACAAAACATTAAAATATCCATATGTACCTTTCAACAAGAATTTGGTCATAAAGTCATATTCCCCCTTTTTAATGGGACTCTTTGTTGTTCAAAACATTATGGGATTTTTTGGGAAATTAGCACTTTTAGTCCATGTAATATCGAAAAATTATGACTTAAGAGTATTTTTTGTGATATCTAATTAATTTTCAACTAATTCATGACACGTAAATGTTTAATAGTAATTTTTTTATTGTTATACTTAATCAAAATTAGTTGAAAAAAAATAAGTACAAACAATAAATTTTTGGTTAGAAATTATGAAAATGTAATATAAAAAATTACATTAAATATACTTAACAGAAATTGTATCAGATGCCGAAATAGATTAAAAGATAGTATAAACTATAAAATTATACTTTGAAATACGAGTTTGCGTTGATATTTTTTATAATTACGATTAAACTTAACAATCATGGTTTGATAAGTATATGGGCCTTTAATTCAAGAAAATGTGTAACTCGATGAATATGTTACACGTGAGATTAGGTTGAATATCCGATTGTTATTGTTGATGATCAAAGATTTTAAGAATCAAAATTACTCGTATACAAATAATAATTATAGACTATATTGAACATCATGTAAAAAATAAGGGACCATTTTTGTTATTTTTCTCTGAATAAAACAAGCTTCACCTCTGTTAGTGTTTGGGTCCTCAAATTTTGTGTTAGTCCTTTTTTGCTCTTTCCCCCAAATAGCACAAAAGAATCCTAGAGAGAGAAAGGGAATCCTAGAGAGAGAAGCATGTCGGACGAAGAACACCATTTTGAGTCAAAGGCAGATGCTGGTGCCTCAAAAACTTTCCCACAGCAAGCTGGAACCATCCGTAAGAATGGTTACATCGTTATCAAAGGCCGTCCCTGCAAGGTCTGTTTTTTTTTTAATTGCTAGTAGTTCATGTTTATGAATTTTTTTATGAATTGGGTGTGTGTAAAAATCAGATCTTGATGAACCCTTTTGCTTGTTTTGTTGTATTAAAAAGTTTCACCTTGCTAGTTGTTCATATTTTATGATTCTCTAATGTGTTCTTCATGAATTGGGTGAGTGTAAAAATCAGATCTTGATGAACCCTTTTATCTGTTTTTGGTTGTGTTAAAAAGTTTCACCTTGCTAGTAGTTCATATTATATAAATGGTTGTGTGTAAAAATCAGATCTTGATGAACCCTTTTGCCTGTTTTTTTCGGAATTTGATTGGTCAGATTTTCATTCTGGATCTTGTTTTATTTGATCTTCTTAGATGTAATTGCTGATTGAAAAAAATGGTGTGTTTATTAAGCTGCAAAATCTGAACTTGCAGTGATTAGTTTTATTACTTTGATTGAGCATGAAGTTTATGGAGTTTGCTCCTGTTTGGCACTATATTTTAGTGAAATAAACTCCTAATAATCCGTCTACTTTTACTTGTTTACTCTACTAAAAAATAGATGTCCACTTTTACTTGTCCAGTTTAGAAAATCAAAAGCCGTCTCTGCAAGTTTTTTTTTTGATTTTATAATGTCACACCTTGCTAGTGGTTCGTATTGTATGCATTTTTATGGGGTTTTACGAATTGGATGTGTAAAAACAGATCTTGATGATCCCTTTTGCCTGTCTTTTTTTGTTTTCTAAAATCTTTTACCTTGCTAGCAGTTCATATAAATTTCTTTATGTGTTTTTATGAATTGGGTGTGTGTTGAAATCAGATCTTGATGGCCTTTTGCCAGTATTTTTTTGGTTTTTGTAATAAAAAATTTATTTTGCTTGTAGTTCATATGTTATGAATCTTTATGGGATTCTATGAACTGTGTGTGTGTAAAAATCAGATTTTGATGAACCCTTTTGCCCCCTGCTACTTCATATATTTGTTTTGTGCCTGTGAATAGGTGGATTCATGATTTAAGTTTTACGAGTTCAACCTCAAAGATTCTTAGTTATGGATTCATATCAACAATTTGTTGCAATTTTCATAGATTTTTCCACAAAAATTTATCATCACAATGGAAGTATTGGTTCAGATGAACCTGGTAAGGTACCTGCATCTGCATCTGTCAGCCTGTGGTGTTTTCAGAATCTGATTGACCAGAATTTCCTCTGGATCTCCCTTTAGTTGATTGTTAGATCTATTTGCTAATAGAAGAAAAAGGGTGTCTTTAAGCTGATTGATTAGATTAAATACTTTTTTAAGAAAAAGGGACAATTCAAGGGAGTCTTGGCATTCCCAGGGCTTGATATAGCCAAGGTGGAGCAAGGCAGTGGATCAGAACTCATATTAATTATCTGCTAAGCTAATAAACTTTCTCTGTCTGATGACTCTTTGTGATGTATATATATCATTTATTCATTCAAATACCGTCCTAATAATTAATCATGGCTTTGCCTGAACTTGGAGCTGCCTCACATTGTCTGAAGAAGGTTATCAAAGACGGTATAATATCTCAATATTTCACATGCTCCTAGGCAACAATGGAGCTTCCGGCAATATGCAAGCTGAATAGTCCAACTACTGAAGATATTCGGGGTTTAAAGTTCATCTATTAACATCCTTTATGAAAAAAAAAAGAAGTTCATCAATTAAAATCCATCCTTGTCACAGATTTCATTTTTCAAGTGCTATTCAGGTGCTAATGCAAATAGATTGTGCAAGCCTTGTTAAATAAATAGGCCGACTTCAAAAAAGCCTAACAAGATAGTATAGCAGATATTAACAAGTCTTGAGTTATTTGTAATTTTGTTTTTATACTTTTCGTTGCAACCTTGTGTATTCATTTACTGGTCTAGTTTTGGATACATGGCTCTTCAAAGAAGGTTCTTGAGTTATATTTATGATAATCTTGAGCAGGTTGTTGAGGTCTCCACTTCAAAAACTGGAAAGCACGGACATGCTAAATGTCACTTTGTGGCAATTGACATTTTCAATGGAAAGAAACTGGAAGATATCGTTCCGTCCTCCCACAATTGTGATGTAATGAAGTGTTTCTTTCCCGTCTTTTTGTTTCTACTGTTATATATTTGGTTTACTAGCAATGGAAGTTTCATTTTTTCTGGTTTGTACATGTTTTTCTCAGGTGCCACATGTTAACCGTACCGACTATCAGCTGATTGATATCTCTGAAGATGGTTTTGTAAGTTTTCTTTTACCACTTATGTGAAGTGGAACAGTCACTCTACTCTACCTGGAGCTAAAAGAAAAAAACTAAACATAACCACATTGTTTTTTATGACTGAGATTTTATGGCAGACCGGTTTAGATGACTATCGACGACTGAGATTTCTTGAGTTTTTAATCCACTTGTTTTAGCATAGGTTCAGTTTTTATTTTGAGCATAATCCAAATGATGTGGCTATGGTGGGTTCTATTCCTTTCTTCCTTGCAATACACACACACACTCATATGCATAGACACACAAATGCTTTGTTTTCTTGAAAGCCACCAATTAATATTTATTGCGAATTATGTCAGCAAAATAAACAGAGACCTAAACTAAGTTTCTATAACATCTATTGTAGTACGTCAAAAGTACTTTATAGGCTTCATCTATGTTGCTCTAACTCTCCAAAAATATTGCTGCACTACTTTTGGAAGTCCGAGCAACATAGGTATTCATTTGGTTAGCCTTTTGGTTAATCATTTTTTTCACCATGAAAACTTCTG